TCGTAATCGCCTCGATTCTTTGATTGTCACATTTACGTATCTTTGTCTCGCTCGCACACCATGCTAACAAAGATTTGCACGGCTCGAAGTCCAACGATATCTCTGCCTACGCCGATGTTATACACAGTGTCCCACCTGACTCTGTCAACCTTAGTTAGTCTCTTAGTTAAGCACAGTTCCATCGGATTTGGTAGTTCAATAGTTATGATTTAACACGTTCCGTGCCGAGCTTTTTTTACTCGAATCTTCACACTTTGATATTTTACTAAAACTTGATGTATTACGTGCAATTATTAATTCTCGTACACATAACAACGTAACAAAAACTTATCAACGCCCATTCTTGCGATGGAAATTGATTCTTCGGTTCTAAATTTCTTGTAAACAATTTGTTCAGTTCACTAAGTAAACATGCAAGCGTGTACCATCGATGGTACACGTGGCACGGAACGTGTTAACGAAAAGGTTGCAGCACTTTATTTTACAAGCTTGTAAAATTAACAATATTCAACGTATTCAAATGTGATCAAAATCTAAAACAGTACCCCAAAAGATGTCCCATTTTGTTTTTTCGCGTGGAATAACTCTACGATGGCTTAGAAATCAATTATTTTTACTCGCGAAAACAAATGACATCTTATTCACAAATAAATCATTGCAGAAAAATTCACTGAAGTTGCAATATTGCGAGGTTTATTTTTATGTTATGAGATAAAGTTGAAATCGGGTCACCGCATGAGCTTGTACTCGATTCTGGCACCCTGATCAGTACAAATCTTTATGACGTTATATCTGATCAATTTGTTAAATAAACAGTAGGTCGCCTGTCGTTCTTTCGAAACGAGGTAAGTCAGTCTTCTTCGCGCCCCGACAGTCAATGCCACGTTCTCTTTCGAAGCGAGCAACTATTTGCCAATTAACAACAGATTTTTATAGTACAGGTATTTATCTATTTTTTTCTAGGAGAACTAAATCAACTGTGAACAATATTTTTCAAGTATCCCGTGATAGATTACATGGCTCGAACGTTTCTCAATCGTCGCTGATAACACTGTTTTGCTGATAACATTGTATTTGTATGGTATGTTTTCAGAATTTGTCATAAACGTAACCAGTTTGTGGCGAAATTAGGTTATAAATTTTTACTTATATTTTTTACTTAAATAAATTTTTGATCATACTTTTAGAATTATTATTGCGAAATTACATAACAGCGTACTCTAGTATGTGTTATAAAATATAGCTCGGTCGATTCACCGGAGATTTAAAAAGTNCTTTGATATTTTACTAAAACTTGATGTATTACGTGCAATTATTAATTCTCGTACACATAACAACGTAACAAAAACTTATCAACGCCCATTCTTGCGATGGAAATTGATTCTTCGGTTCTAAATTTCTTGTAAACAATTTGTTCAGTTCACTAAGTAAACATGCAAGCGTGTACCATCGATGGTACACGTGGCACGGAACGTGTTAACGAAAAGGTTGCAGCACTTTATTTTACAAGCTTGTAAAATTAACAATATTCAACGTATTCAAATGTGATCAAAATCTAAAACAGTACCCCAAAAGATGTCCCATTTTGTTTTTTCGCGTGGAATAACTCTACGATGGCTTAGAAATCAATTATTTTTACTCGCGAAAACAAATGACATCTTATTCACAAATAAATCATTGCAGAAAAATTCACTGAAGTTGCAATATTGCGAGGTTTATTTTTATGTTATGAGATAAAGTTGAAATCGGGTCACCGCATGAGCTTGTACTCGATTCTGGCACCCTGATCAGTACAAATCTTTATGACGTTATATCTGATCAATTTGTTAAATAAACAGTAGGTCGCCTGTCGTTCTTTCGAAACGAGGTAAGTCAGTCTTCTTCGCGCCCCGACAGTCAATGCCACGTTCTCTTTCGAAGCGAGCAACTATTTGCCAATTAACAACAGATTTTTATAGTACAGGTATTTATCTATTTTTTTCTAGGAGAACTAAATCAACTGTGAACAATATTTTTCAAGTATCCCGTGATAGATTACATGGCTCGAACGTTTCTCAATCGTCGCTGATAACACTGTTTTGCTGATAACATTGTATTTGTATGGTATGTTTTCAGAATTTGTCATAAACGTAACCAGTTTGTGGCGAAATTAGGTTATAAATTTTTACTTATATTTTTTACTTAAATAAATTTTTGATCATACTTTTAGAATTATTATTGCGAAATTACATAACAGCGTACTCTAGTATGTGTTATAAAATATAGCTCGGTCGATTCACCGGAGATTTAAAAAGTGTATAATTATTTGTACGTGTATATTACAGAAATATCTGGGTCCGAAGGGACCCATCTATGACCGCACAAATGTCAATATAATTCACATTATTTCACAGAATTTCTAGATCTGTCCCCGATCCTTTTGACTTATTTATCTTGTGCATCGTAATTTCGAACATGGTGAATACTTTCAAGGACGATTACGTGAGCATAACAAATTCTCTTCCGCATTACGCGAGACTCGACTATATAGAATATATACGTGATACACGTAATCCAATTTTGTTTCAGTTCAAGAATATTCCTGATTATGTCTTTCGAGTCTATTTTCTCTGTCCTAATTCTACGTTTACACTGAAATGTTCCTTTATTGTGTAATAGTAAGAATGTAACTGCTTGATTTATAGATGAACTTTTGTTATCTCATTCCATTTTCTATACCACGAAATTTTCGTTTACAGACTCTAACATTTAATTACATTACTTTATCTCTTTTTTATTGGCTTCACAAAATTATGCGTCTTTAAAAAAAAAAGGAGGAAAAAGGTTCGTCTCGCGAAACCATTAATATGCAACAGTGACCATAAAAAAGTATGTAGTAATCACTGATCGCCTCTGATTACTATAATATTATTCGTACGTAATTCCACTAGGAAGAGTAAAAACAAATTATCATTATTCCTGTATGAGAAGTATGTAAATAATCCTCTCAGTGATCGTGTCACAACATCGAAAAACACAAGAAAACAGAAATAATTCAATTGTTATCCTATCCGCAACAACTCGATGGAATACAATAATTGGAACCGGTGACAATGACTCGGAATGTCGACAGCATCCTTTATTCATTACATGCAATACGCTAAGAACCATCGGTAAATGGTCTTTTATTTCTTGCATGTTATAAATCATTTTTTTAGGAAAACGTGTTATACGAGGAAACCGATGTAAAAAGCTGTTTGACATTATTTTTCATCGGGAATAAGAAGTTGAATTTACGTGATTATTCAGTTGTTATTGAGGTTTGCTTCCATATATGATTATCTGATAGATTTTAGCACTTATAGGATTTGCGGAGTATTTATAGGATAAGAAACTATTTTTATAGGATAAGAAACTATAAGAAACTATACATTATTCATATTAAACGTCACTGATGTTTTTGTTCAATTTTCACATCAGAAAATCTTGTTGTCCATGAAATCAATATTTCTTACGCTGGCGTTACCAAGTAAAAATTATATGATATCGAACGTGAAATTGATTTTATTAAGAAGGCTATTGAAGATAACTCGATGACATCGCGATGCAGAAAATATTTCACTAGTCACTGATCCTTAAAGCAAATTATGTTAACTCATTGTATGTGGTAGAAAGTCATCTAACGAAAAGTTTAAAAAAAGGATGCAACAAAAATGTGGCAAATATGTACGTTAATAAAGAAGTGTCTTTAATCGTTGATTCAATGTGGGCTACGACAAAAAAGTACGCAATATTCGAGCTACCATGTCTACATATATACTGTTTTAATCCGTGATTCTGCTGCAACGCAGCAAACGCGTGTTATTTCGTCTTATTTTCGTTCATATTTGCGAAGCGTCCGTGATTTTCAGAATGTCGCAACTAAATACCTGCTACTTACCAATCAAGGATACGCAGGTATACATTAATAGCATGCATTTGCCATCCTGTAGCAGAATCACGCACAAAACGAGTAAACACGCACTGTTCATACCTTCACATCAGCACGTACATTATGTGTAATCTCTTTGTCTTGTCCCGTATTAAACCAAGAGAAAGTGTATCGATGCGATGATTTATCACATTTCACATTTTTATTATAACTGCGGATAATCACGTTAATTTCCAATTATTTTAAGAAAAAGGACAGAAATTCCTACATCGTCTCGAACCCATCTTGCGTTCAATCTACAGTAACAATGTAATTAACTTTCATTAATATTCAGGTTTTCTTAATTTTTTGAACATGCGTTTACGCAAAGATGTATGTATTTACGCAGAGATGTGTATTGTAGTTACAACATTTTCATAGAACATTTAAGGACCTTTCGTGTGACATTTATTCATTCGAACAAGTAAAATTGAATAATTTTCCACAAATGCACCTTTACACTCTCAATAATCTCTGTTCTAATAAAACTTGGATTATTCTATTTTATATATTATATTATTATATTATATACTATTATATTATATTATATTATATTATATTTTATATTTAAGTTGAAATATCAATAACGTTTGATATATAACAAGAACTGAATAAATTCAATCTTCTCGTTTTTTTAAGGTGATACTTAGTCACTTTTAATGCTCCATGGATTCAATGTTAAATTATGGAAATAGCGTAGAAAAGTGTGTAAAGTTTTACTGTCAAATTGACTTTCATTACGTTATCAAAATAGTGCAAAGAAGCATGTTCCTAGAGCTCGGAAATATGAAAAGGCTTTGATTACAGAAGAAGTGTAGAAAAACTAATTGGAACAACGGTACGTAAAATTCGCGGTGAATTCATTCCTCTTATCACTTGACTCCGGCGACTACCTTTGTGTCACTGGCGTCGTAATGGATTTGCACAATTGCCTCGGGTCACTACGATATCGTTTTTCATTTCTTCCTCGTTGCGTGACAGTCCGATGGAGTGGGCAGTTTTGTATATATTGGCAACAACTTGCGATCCATCTCATAACGCTAGTAAACCATCGTGATGGAGAAGTCACGTTTGAATTCGACGAAATTGTAGTGCACGGTCGAAGAAACGATACAACAACAATGTCGAAGTTATTCAACATACTATTCCTCGGCATACTAATCGCAAAGGACACTGTCGACGCAGGGTTATGTACGTTCAAACTTCCCCGAAATTTTCTGTAATAGAAATATCCTGAAATTATTCTCGTTCAAAACAATGTCGTTTATTTTGTAGGCGATCTTAAAATCGATCCTGCCATCCTTCAGAAAATTCATCTGCAAGTTTACAAAGGGTTCGTGATCGACTAAAAGTATCCGATGCTTTCTAAACCCATCGTTCCGATTCAAAATGATCTTGATTCACGTTTCACGTATTTCTTGCGAAAAATTATTTCACCCTTATGCACCGTTCCGATGATCGATTCGGGTCAACAGTAAACTTTTGTTTCGAATTATACTTTCACGAATGTTGACAGCTATCAGTCTTCGCTATTCAATGAACAGTGTACAACACGTTACGTTTTAGAAAAGCTTAGGCATACTATATATAAGCCGTTTATTTTGAAAGTGGCATAAGTCACTTTACCGTAATGAAAAGTAGTGATTTTTTTATGTTTATACGAAATTATTTATACCGAGAAAAATATCAGTATCCTGAGATAACAAATACAAGTAAATCTTCTCGAAAGTTAGCATCCATATTTTTAACCGTGTTAAAACGCAAACCCTTAAATATATCGACTTAAAAACAAAGTGACTTATGCCACTTTCAAAATAAACGGCTCATATTCCACATTTGTTCGTACAATTTTTCGCGTATTCTTCACAGACAGGCTTTATTGATTATTAACATTGTTCTTATTGCAGTGACAGTTCTTCCTTCACGTTCACCGAAAGCCATGTGACGAACCCAGAGATCATTGCGCAGGACATTGTCCACGGCGATGAGACCATTCTTTACGTTCATGGGTTCATGGAAGATACAAGTGCCGATAACGTTATGGTTATACCGAAAGGTACCGGCAATCATAAAGGAACGAGATCGTTCTAATCGTTGTAGAAACGAACATCTCAATTTTCCCATTTTGTGTTGACAGCGTATTTGGATAAAGGTGGCGTTAACGTGATCGTAGTCGATTGGGGAGAGATAGCGCTTAACATCAATTACCTTTATGTTAGCAGCCAAGTGCCTTACATAGGAAAGGCAATCGCCGAATCTATGGAAAAGCTAGCTGACGTGATCGATTTGAACACGTTGCACGTGATTGGACATTCTTTGGGTGCTCACATTGCTAGCCACATTAGTAAATTCATGAACGTTACTCTAAATCGGCTAACAGGTACGTGAAAAAAAATTAGTNAATGAAAAGTAGTGATTTTTTTATGTTTATACGAAATTATTTATACCGAGAAAAATATCAGTATCCTGAGATAACAAATACAAGTAAATCTTCTCGAAAGTTAGCATCCATATTTTTAACCGTGTTAAAACGCAAACCCTTAAATATATCGACTTAAAAACAAAGTGACTTATGCCACTTTCAAAATAAACGGCTCATATTCCACATTTGTTCGTACAATTTTTCGCGTATTCTTCACAGACAGGCTTTATTGATTATTAACATTGTTCTTATTGCAGTGACAGTTCTTCCTTCACGTTCACCGAAAGCCATGTGACGAACCCAGAGATCATTGCGCAGGACATTGTCCACGGCGATGAGACCATTCTTTACGTTCATGGGTTCATGGAAGATACAAGTGCCGATAACGTTATGGTTATACCGAAAGGTACCGGCAATCATAAAGGAACGAGATCGTTCTAATCGTTGTAGAAACGAACATCTCAATTTTCCCATTTTGTGTTGACAGCGTATTTGGATAAAGGTGGCGTTAACGTGATCGTAGTCGATTGGGGAGAGATAGCGCTTAACATCAATTACCTTTATGTTAGCAGCCAAGTGCCTTACATAGGAAAGGCAATCGCCGAATCTATGGAAAAGCTAGCTGACGTGATCGATTTGAACACGTTGCACGTGATTGGACATTCTTTGGGTGCTCACATTGCTAGCCACATTAGTAAATTCATGAACGTTACTCTAAATCGGCTAACAGGTACGTGAAAAAAAATTAGTTTCGCAAAACTTGTCTTTCCAAAGAGAGTTTTTTCCTTCTCTAATTGTTTTCGAGTACGTACCGGAACTATTTAATCGCTACTGTTCTCATTTTATGCACATGAAGTAATCGATATTTTGTTGATCAACATCGTCCAGTTAGGAGGAGTATTATACAGGGTGTCACTGAAAGGTACGAGCGGGCAGCACGTGATCCCTCATAAAAAAATATAGGATAACTTCTTTTTGTTTGAGGCTTAGTTTTCGAGAAAATCGAGTTTGAAAATTCGTTTTGTATGAATCGACGAACCGTATCTTAGCCGGAAGTGCATGTATGGAAAGCAAATTATGAAACTAGATTTTCTGGAAAATTAAGTTCAAAACGGAAAAGTAATTTTATATTTTTCTCATGTTTTTTTATGAGGTCCGCTTGTACATAACCTTTATTTATACCCTATATTAATTATAGAGCTATTAACGTTAAAATTGCTGCGGGTCTTTAATTTTTATTGTACAACTTTTGAAATTATAATTATTATTATTTTATTGAATGAATTTATGATAATATTTGAAATTGAATATAAAGTGACGATGACAGCGAGAATGGTTGAATAAAATAACAATTAAAAAAAGATTAATCTGAAATTATATCTTGAAAATTAAAGGGACAAGTCTAAAAACAATTTCTTGAAAATTAAAGGGACAAGTCTGAAAATTATTTCTTGAAAATTGAAGGGACACAAGTCTGAAAATTATTTTCTTGCTGAAACCTAAAATTTTGACGTCGACCATCAAATTGAGATTATAACGAACAGTACTAACAATAAGTACAATTGACAGAGAAATTGTTGGTTGCAGGACTAGATCCCGCGTTCCCCCTGTTCTATCCTTCCGCGTGCCACATTAAGAAAACCGACGCAGAAACCGTCGTTATCCTTCACACGGATGCTGGCTTTTACGGTACGCCTATCGACACGGGAACCGTTGATTTTTATGCGAACAAGGGAGTCAGTCCTCAACCAGGTTGCCCTATAATCATTGGCGGAGGTAAATCATAATACACGTCGTTAACACATTCAAGTTTCCTCGGGGATAAAATGTAGCGAATTTTAATGAACGCCGAGCACGCCACTTACTACTTGACAACCAGTCATCTATGTAATTCATAAAGCATTAGCTTAAGATATTTGAACGGAATCGCAGATTATTATTGGTCGCCACTTGACGGCGGTTTTCAAAGTATCACAATATATTGTGCATTTTTCTCGAGAGCTATGTAATGCTCAATTACAATATTAGGTACCCCAGAATCATTATTAAATCTTGCATCAAAGTTATCGCCTCGGATGTGAAGTATTTTGCGTAATAAATATTCGATTCGTCATTTTTCTTTTTTTTTGCAACGCCGAGAAAAATGATCGTTTTTGCATGCGACGAGTCCGCGGGGAAAAAGGAAGCGTAAAAATGTTTAATATATAGGGAAACGAAAATTGACTTTTCAATTTATGATATTTGAGTATAGCTCGGAAGTATTTTATTCGCAGTATAACACGATATATGTTAACGATTACGTCCCGTACACGCTTTGCTCGTGGAATTAATTAGAGTTTCAGTGGTAATTGATACGATCGTTGAATTCTTGATCACTTGCTGCGGACGATTATCTCAGATGAAATGTTTTTATTCAAAGAAATCTGCAGCCATCAAAGATCCACCAAGATCTTCGCAGAATCAGTGACAAATCCTGAGGCGTTTCCATCGCGTAGATGTATTGCCAGGTTCAAAGATGGTGAGAGGGTATATTTCAATGATTCCACGCCAAAGAACTTGTAAGTTTACTAAGAATAGTAATCACTAGAGCGTGGAATATTATGCGAACTCCTATTATATTTTCATTCTTCCATATACTCTAATTCGAAGTTAAAAAAAACAATTAAGTAAAGAACGAAACTATTTTGCTGTCCATTCTTGCATATCGTCTATTAATAAGAATTAATACGTTGCATATTCTTTTTCAGACACGGTGCTTACTGTTTCAATACAAACAAACAGTCGCCATTCGGCCAACAATCTTAATTTCTACGCTGAGATACGAAAAAGCTCATAAGTGAGTATAGTAGATATAAGAACATAATAAGAGAAAAGTTTCCTAATTATGTTGCAACGATGACCATTTCAATAAAATTTTACAAACTCTCCACCGGAGACAGTTATTTTGTGTTTATTACTGCCGTATATTATTTTCAATAATACTTAACATTCGAAGTTTACAAACGAACAACACGTATGTCGAGCATTGTCAGCAAACATTCAACCACGTACGTCTCCTCGCCATTGTCAACCGAATCGTTTCCTGCCTCCCAAAGTCACAAATGGTGCTTCCGTTGACAAATTGTGCAAACGTCTGAGAGCAACTAACTTGGTAAAGTGACGCACTGTTGAACGATTATAATTTCATTTCCAATGAGCGTTGCTATGAATAATTAATGCGGAATCGCGACGATCGCGTCGCGTTCTGTCGGGAAAACATAGTTATACGTTCCGGGCTAAAAATACTTCCATCCCCATTACTTTTGTTTTCCAATTTGTACACTTTTGTGCCTGCTACTTCGTCATGGTGCATACCATTTTTAAAAATAGGGAGATAACAATTTTTATAAATAACTTTCCTCTTTGTATCTAAAGTCATATATTATTAATCATTAGACTGTGATTCTTCAAACTTTCGTACCACACGCAAATTTCCAAAATACCAGATTGGAAATAACATTTTTATTTGATATTCATTGCGGGGAACATATATTCCTCTTACCTTAGAGCTCTGATCGAATTATCATTACTGCTGGCAACTTTCTAATAGTTCTCTTAAGATCAATGATCAACAGTTCAGAATTTCTTACAACTAAATTGTTCTAAAACTACGATAATCTCATCCACATAATCCATCGGATTATTTAGATTAATGTAATGTAGCAAGTTCTTTTGAAAAATTGTCAAGGTTAAATTAAAAATATCGAACTTCTCTTGTCAGACATAGTTGAATCGATGAAAAGACTGTCAAGTATAAAAATGGAAATGCGCATAAAGTGCATTTGTTACGCTGAAATACAAAACTTAAAAACCTACAATGTTACGAATAATGCTCCTACTATTCGTTTATTAAAATGATTGAAAGAAGCAACGCGCGTTTCTCACGGTCGGATTAGAAGATTTTCATTTTGCACGGAGGTCAGTAGTCCATCCGATCATGCTCGAAACAGTCCGAAAAATGTGCATTCACTCCACTCGATTTAATCGATTCTGCAAACGTGTCAGTTTCCACTGGGCTTGGCATTCCATTCCCAAGAAAATGTTACGGGCAAGAGGGATAGTTTCGGTAAGGAATGCAAGGCGTCCTCTTCACATTCGACCGGACGTTCGTCTCGGATTTAGTATCATTGGCGGCAAATTAAACGGCAGCTCTCAAAGCGACCGGACGGAATTAAAAGCTACGCGGGCCTCGCACACGCAAACGAATTCTAATCGAACCAATTAAATTCGCCGAACGGCTGTGTTCGATTGGTTTTGTGGTCGGCTTTGCTCAAACGCCCTCGTCAACGTCACCTAATTTCCGTTGATCCGTGCTCCGATCAATTGTTCGGAGGATTCATGTGCTGAAATAGTTTTTCTATAATTCGGTTATAAATTGTAACGCTCGTAGGATAGTAATATTATAATGGCAATTTTAGTCCACTCCATTCTTTCTCATTAATATTATGATATTAATGTTCGCAATCGTGATTTTAAATAAAAATCTCAACGAACACATCCGCGGAAATCGTACTCGTACGAAACACAAAATAAATGACGAAAATACAGAATTTAAAAAAAATTCTTTTAGGCAAAACGTGACGCTGGAAATACGCGATAAGACTGCAAGAGGTGATGTCATAAACAACATAATGTAAGCAGAGAGACAAACATTTACACGTAGTAAAAATTTGACATTTTATATGCACCAATAATTTATTCTTAATCTGCTTTGCTTACCTCTTCCGCCCGTTTCTCGAATTTTACGCAGAAGCTTTCACTCGCCAGCTTTCATTTCGTCATTCCGTTTTTTTTTATCCCTTACGTCTCCATATTTAATAAATTGTCGTTCCTACCTATCTGCATAATCTACAGTACCGGACAAAATGATAGGACATTTGATATTTTTGAATCTTTTGCATAATATAGTGAACTATATGTACATTGTACACACCTTATACAGAGTGTCTCAAAAATGTCTCGTAATCCGGAAATGGAGGGTTCCTGAGATCATTTGAAGCAACTTTCTCCTTAGCGAAAATACAAACCGCGGCTTCGTTTACGAGTTATCAACGAAAATCAGTGACCAATGAGAGGCGAATTCATTTGGCGCGAGACGGCCGAGCCAACGAGCGCGCGAAGCCCAGCTCCGCTCATTGGCTCGGCCGTCTCGCGTCAGCAGAGCTGGGACTGTCTCTTATACACATCTAGATGTGTATAAGAGACAGAAGGAAACATGCAAGCGTGTACCATCGATGGTACACGCTTGCATGTTTCCTTCTGTCTCTTATACACATCTAGATGTGTATAAGAGACAGCCTAAGGAATCCACCATTTCCGGATTGCGAGACAATTTTGGGACATCCTGTATATTGAAAATGCCCTCTAAACTGAGCATAGTAAACCTTAAGTGTGTATATTACACGAACGAAGCTAGAGGAAAAAATGTAAACATGCTGAGATCTCGCTCGGTCAAAATGATAGGACACATCGCATATTTTCCATTATTGTGTTCTCCGTCAGTCGTTTCTCAGCATCGACTAGATGTGAACGTGTTAATTTGTCGTTTATCTACAGTATTGGTGCAGTTAATTGTTAAAACGGTGCAAAATGGGTCGCGGAAAACAATTGAACACAAGTGAAATCGATCGAATCTTATTATTGCGGTCAAAGAATTGTACCATCGCGAAAATTGCGAAGTTATTAAATCGGAGCCGTAATGTTATTTACGATCTTTTAAAAAGTTCGAAAATCTACGGAAAAAAGAAAACACGGGGGAGACCTCGTGCAACAACAGAACGTCACAGACGGGCTATACTACGCGTTGCTTCGAATTATAAAGGAAACGCTCTAACGGAATGGTGATATTGAATGATATGTATTTCTACCCCGTAAAATATAATTGAAAGCAAAAAGGATCGGAACCAAATATCGCTTCAAACAGTACACGAGAGCATACAAGTATTTTTAACCAGTTAACTGTAGCGATCTCTTTGCAAAGCGCCCACCAGTATGTATCGCGATAAGCTCTCGTATCGCGACGAGTTAGCTCTCAGGAAGTTATGAATCCAACTGAAATTATTTATAATTTTCATTTGTTTGTTTCATTTCGTCTTGACCTCTAAACATTTTAAACATATTAAAATTTACGAATATAATTTAGTTTTCGCCAGAATTACAATTTAAATATCAAATTGTAACAAAATTTTACGAATGATGGATATAATCGTCAGCACACAAAATTCTGCCACATCTCCATGACGGATATAGTCGTCAAATACATTTAACTGGTTAATATTCAATCTCTTTCATATGAATTGATACTTTGAAACTAACTGTTTGCTAACGCCAAATGCTAGAAGAGAAATCGATAAAGCTATCGTGAGTCAGTTAGCAGAAACTGCGGTAAAAATCTGTTAAATATCAGGAACATTCATTGGAGAAAGTCGACCTTAACAATAGTGAAACTTTACATAATCAATTCTTGTTTCGATATCTGCGCAGCGTTCAGAAAGAACTGTCGATAGCGCAAACGTTGGTCCCCGACTACTTGTTACACAGGCCCATGCAACCGGCGACAGTGTAACGCGAACTGAAACGAATCCTAATTAGGCCGGTTAAATTAGCCTGAATGGCTGAGCTCATTAACCGAGACAGCACCTCGAACGACGTGAGAACCGCTATAACAGCTTGATCAATGAACAGAATTCGTGATTTATCTCCGCGCAAGCAGAGTTTATCGAATCACGGCGAATAATGGAAGCAGGTGGTGCAAGTACATTATGCGAACTAACAAAAGCAATGGAACCCGAACACATTTGCGAGCTTTTCTTAACTGGTCGAATGATGCGCTAATTTCAAGTCTTTCGCGTGAGTGTCGCTCATTTTGTTTATAGCGAAAAACAATCGTTCGTAACCAAATAAAATTTTCTGGTCGTTAAGAGAAGCACTCAATTCTTGCGTTGATGATTCTAACAGCTTGATCAATCCATATCAATTCTAGAAAATCTCGGAAATTCATACTGATTCATTGCGAGCATCGGCTAATCTTGAAGACAAGAGAAATTGTTGACATCGGCGTACACATTATTCTATCGAAATCGTTTTCGTAGACAAACGATAGTCAATATTACGATCCTTGGGGCTTTAGAAACATGAAAACATGAAAAATTGCATAATAGAAAGTTATCGAAATTGAAACATTTTCGCGGCAAGTAGAGCACCTAATTCTTGCGTCGATGATTCTAACAGCTTGACCAATCCATGTCAATTCTAGAAAATCTTGGAAATTCATACTGATTCATTGCGAGCATTGTCTATCCTTGAAGACAGAAGAAATTGTTGACATCGGTGTACACATTATTCTATCGAAATCGTTTTCGTAGACAAACGATAGTCAATATTACGATCCTTGGGGCTTTAGAAACATGAAAACATGAAAAATTGCATAATAGAAAGTTATCGAAATTGAAACATTTTCGCGGCAAGTAGAGCACCTAATTCTTGCGTCGATGATTCTAACAGCTTGACCAATCCATGCTAATTCTAGAAAATCTCGGAAATTCATACTGATTCATATTGCGAGCATCGCCTATCCTTGAAGACAGAAGAAATTGTTGACTTCGGTGTACACATTATTCTATCGAGATCGTTTTCGTAAACAAACGATAGTCGATATTACGATCCTTGGGGCTCTAGAAACATGGAAACATGAAAAATTGCATAATAGAAAGTTATCGAAATTAAGACATTTTCGCGGCAAGACTCTCGTTTCGAAGCACTCTGCGCGGCGCGTCGGAGCGCCGAGCCATTCATGCTCCGCTGAATCAGACGAAACAAATGCAATCGTTACGTATCCGGGGAGCCCTACTTCCGCCAGCTAAACAAGAAACTCATCTAGAATCGGTGCAGCGAGGAC